TAACTTGAAAATATGCACGCTTTATATGCGTGCATAAATTGCGGTCAAGTACAAGCCGATAATTCAACAATTGGATACTGAATATAAAGTTCAGGAAGCATTTATAGGGTGCGTGCTTCATCATGCAAATTCGGCTAAGATTGGATTCATTTAAAGTGCTTTCTCCCAATTATTAATTGTCTTTTTCGAATTTCGCAATCCGTGTTCATGAAATCCTTGCAATCTCCTACAAGGCAACTTGTTCGTTAACATTTATAAATGAAGTTTGTAATACTGGTCATATTTGCAACGGGTAATGTCATTAATGGTGTAATTGTAGAATCAAGTGAAAACTGTATGCATATCAACCAAATCTGGATGATAATATGCACATTTGTGGTGACGTCAGTGATCTTGTATTTTCACCTATTTCAAATGTGAATGCGCTGCAGCACTCGATCGTGCGCAGGTGATGGTAATTTTCCTACAAAGAATTGGGCTATTTTAGAGATAGATGGTATCCGTGGCACATGTGCCAATAAATACATTGAATTAGTCCCACATACGGCGTGCCCATATGGCCAATCACTGGGTAACAGAGAACTCATTATAAACCATACCTGTTCTAGGAAACGACTGATAATGCCCTATTTTCGGAGTTCAAATAATGCAAACTTATTGTATTTACTTATAAGGCGCTGATTGTCCCATAATTACATATTGCTTGATAAAGAAATTTCAAAGGTGAAATAAATTCTAACACTAATCAATTTGAGGGAAATGGGGGACTATTCTGACTTTCACAGAACTGACTCTATTTTAAGACGTGGCGGTACCTGCTCCGAATAACAGCTCATGATTTCCTTATGCAAATCTGATTCTTTGATATTAGCGATAAATCACAATTAACCGCCTCCGTTTTTCATTTATAGAATTTTAAGCTCAATAGTAGGCTATATGAACGCGAGCAGATTGGAACCATTGCGTACCAAATTTTGACCAGGTAATTAGTGAAAGTTCACTAAAAGGCGAAAAACTGGTGTTCTTGCCTACCCATGCAATGCATAATATCAACCCTATTCTATTGCCATGCTTGAAAAATATGGAGTTGTTTGTCCAACCGCAGAAGACTTTGTTTATTTGCCACTCAATATTGTATAACTGAGGAAAGAGAAGGTTTGCAGGATAAAGTGTGAAACACTTATTCTTCCCTAAGAATTTGTTTTGCCATACGACAGTTCTGAACGAAGTTGGCCCTAGCCAAACCGAACAACACGCCAAACTAACCACAGCTTGGGATGCTGAAGAATCACATCATTCTCTTTTTCTTTGCTGCGTTGAAATCACTGTATTTAGCGAACCGCAAATGCCCACAAAATCAAGGAAACGCTAAATTCCATGATGTGCGACTGATCGTGTATGCTTGAAGTTTGTGTGCATCGCGTTTTTTGCAAAGCGAAAGGTGTCGCAGAAGAAGTCCATTTTGCATGATGGTGTTAAGGAGTTCATCAATTATCGTACCATGTACTGCTGTAGCTTTTCTCGGTAACATTGTCCCAAACTGATATTGAGAGAAACAGTGCTACTTTGTAAACCATGGTGTAATTTTCTAGTGCGGAACATAGTAAAGCTTCCTCTGAGGACATCAGACATTCCTTACAACCCGAATCCCTCAATTTGCATTAATTGCATTCAGAAGCAAATAGGGAATTTTGTGTGCAAGTGCAGTTTTAATTAGACTTTTTATTCTCTCCAAGTGTATTGAAAGTCAATCACTCAGTTTTGGTAGTAAGCCACGCAAAATCTAGATGATACCTTGCTTCGGTGGTTCCAAGCATGCTTTTTGGACGTAATAGAGCCAGACGGTGCAAAACATGTCGAATTTTAAAATTTGTACGTTTAAGCAGCTGTAGGAGAGATGTGCTACTGAGCGAAAGCGCAAGCTATACAAATTCAAGAGCATATGAGACATAACTTTGAACTCTTTGGAAGGACTACCCTACACTTGTAGGAAACGACGGAAGAGTAACAGTCTCATTAAAATCATTTAATTGTATTAACTTTGTCTTTATGGCATAAAGAACAGTTTTATTAACAATTGCATTTATCATTTATGAGGAGATGCTTGGGCAAGGTAAGCATTTTTGCACTGAGTTGCATAAGGTTTTCAGCTTAGCTTAATTGAATTAGCTATTTTAGAAAAATAAGCAAAATGAAACACTAAAAAAGCTAAATTGAGTTGATGAGTGAATGTAAAAACCATCGCAAGTGTTACTTAGCGTTTCCATAATGATATGAGACAAAAGAATTTTGATGAGGGTGATGCTGATATTGGTGCAGGATAGGTAGTGGGGTTCGCATAGCTGACTTCTCTGCCTAACACTGCAGACTCCTGACTTGTAGATAATCCCTGCAGTAAGATGGG